TTTATTAATTTTGCAAAAAGAAAAAACAAATGCACAGCAGAACACATCCACATTTAACAAGAAGTCTTCTTTTTTTTTCTCTTCTTGCAAAATCACAGACTGTTTATTACTTATTGAATTAACAGCCATGCACAACAAAAAGAAATCCTAAATGCTCATCAGAAAAAACGACTTATACTGAACATGGAACAAAAGAAAACTTATGCTGAACAAAGGAAATAAATATATAACTAAATGAAGAAACAAGTGGAACGATTATCATCCAAGATGCCAAAAAAAAAAAAAAAAGGAAAAAATGGAACTAGTAGGACGGAAAATCAAATTACTCATACAAATCTACATCTGAAAGTTAGACAGGTTACCAATTCTTTCAATCATTCACAGCTTTTCTGCCATAAATTATGAATGCAAATCCATTATCGTAATAAAGTGAAGATAACAAATTAATGGCAACTATTTCAATCATAAACAAGATTAAATAAAAACAATAACAAAAAAACAAAAGGCTAACAAAAGAAAAGTATAAATATATTATTAACGACAGCTTTTATTAAACTCCTTTTAAATCTATTATGAAAAAAGGTAAACCTTTGAAGCTTATATTACACAATACTCATTATTCTAAACGTTTATACATGGTATGTCTGGTACATTTAAGGAATTTTCAAAAAGATATAACAGACCGTATTCAGTCACTGTTGCATAATCATTATACGAAGTGCACAGTAGAATATCACATAATGCCATAAAAAAATCTCAAGCATCTTCGTCGCAAAACTGAAAGGTATATTATTGACTGGAATAACGCTGACAATTTTCTAAACAAAATTTGAAAAAGAGAGACTATTGCAAAGTCAGATGCTACGAAGCAATTCCTCCAAAAGACCACTGAAATAAAATTGAACACAATGGAATTTCTGATCATAAAAGTAATTCATCCGCTTCATGTCGTTAAAATTGCTCAGGCATATTATTCTTGAAGGTAACAAGCTAGGCAACAAAACTTTCCATTTCCCCCTAAAACTTTAGAATGCGACAAAAATGTTTTGTATCAAAATTACTTTGATTATGCAACATACGCTAATCTTAAGTAAAAAATGAAAACCTTTGAAAGTTCTCAAAACTTGAAAAAAAGACTGCACATTTTTTTAAACAAAAATTGAGGAGTGGAGAGAATTATCAATAAACATTACAAATAAAATAAAGCCAAAAAAAACATGCTCTGAATGCGCTATTCTGCAAAATCTGCAAATGAAAGACAACAAGGTAGTGGTCGTCATTCGAAATGAAGTTTCAAACCTCAAAGTGCACAACAAATGTACAGTAGAAAATAATTCTACATTTCAAACACCCGCTCCAAACAGCATTTTCTTCGCTCTTTATATGCAAAAGTTCGTGCATGAAACACAAACCAAATATATTCCATTCCTTGAAACTAATTCGAGAACATACAATAAAATTTCATTTAAAAAGATGAGAGAAAACAGAAAAAAAAAACTATATCGAGCTTTACAGAACTGTTACCAAAATATCCAAACGAAATAAAGCGATCAAAATTACCAGTATCCGGTAAAAGCAACTCCACAAGTCAAAATCAAGAAATCGTGCAACCACTTCGATTGTCCTGATCCTTTTCTGTTTGATAAAGTTTTTCTTCTTTTACGAGAGGAAGGTCTTTATTGCATTTTTTAATTTTTGAAAAATCTGGCATCGAAGCTTTTGACAAGTCAAAAGACGCATACACAGATTCAGACCAATCCTGAATAGAGGAACAATGAATGAAAATTACAGATTTTAGAAAAAGTTTCTCTCCTTACCGGGCTTGGAGAAGGGAGTGAGAATGGTTCTGGCTGAGCTAAACCAAAAGTGGCTTTTTCTTCTAAAGAAGGACAATCGTCGGGAACTTTCTGGTGGTAAATAAAACCGTTTTCCCTTTCAGCTTTTTCTAAATGACGTTTCAAAAGCGGTTCCACACGACGGAAAAACAAGTGTGTAGCGGGTTTCGCAGGTGTTCCTAAAACCTTGTCTGGTTTCACTAAAGAATAATTAGGCAAGGATATCACAAAGGAGAAAAATGAAGGGTTAAATAAAGAATGTACTAAGAACCTTAAAAAAAATAATATTTGGAAAGAACAAGAATACTTCCGCCTAAAAGAAAACAAAAAAAAAGATGACAAATTCCCGAACAGAGCATAAAGAAAAAAGTTTTCCCATTCAACCTGGTCCTTGTGACTTCATATACATCGCAGAAAAGTTTTTCGCGATTTCAAAACACGATAACCCTTCTCTGCAAGCACGAACCGCTTCTCCACACTTATCTTCAGCCAAAAGACTTTCACCAAAGAAAGCATATGCATAAGCCAAATAAACCTGAGCTTTTAACTGCAGGTACCAACGCCACTTTCCAAATACATTCTGATCCAACCGTTCCAGAGACTTATCTGTAAAGTGCAAAAACCCGTTCTAAAAAGCTTAGGAACCCGCAAAACATATTCA